AGTATGATCTCATAAATTAGCTGCTGCTATATGGACACAGTGTTTTCTGCAGAGTTTTTGCATTTTGCAGAAACGCACTACAGTCCATTTAACATGATTTCCATAGGACATGTTCACACCAATGCGTTTTTTGGAAAGGGGTCAGGGACTTTATTGAATGCAAAAAGTTGCATTTTTGTTTCTATACACTTCAGAGGAGATGCTGCAGAAAAGCATGTATTGCATTTTTGCTGCATTTTTTCTGCTTTTTTTTTAGGCATTTTGCATTTTAAATCTGCCTAGCAACAAGAAAAATGAAAACTGCAAAATGCATCAAAAACACATAAAAAATGCAAGTGAAAAAACTATTAATATACCCCTCTCTCTCTCTCTCTCTCTCTCTCTCTCTCTCTCTCTCTCTATTTTTTTTATTTTAATTTATTATTCTTTTTTATTGCTATTTTTTAATTAAGGAGATGCTGATTTCCTAAAAAACAAAAAAGAAGAAAGTTTGTAGTTTAAACAATACCCTTTATTGGCTAACTTGTGTTTTTAAAGAGCAGGGATAAACTGTGAGTTGATACAATTGGATTGTATGCCCACACGTTCTACTGTGCTGTGCATGTTGAACATACCAGTAATTTTGTTTTTAGCCTCCTGTTCCCAGAGGTGCAATGCAGAATGTGTCTGCCAAACATGTTTTGAACAATCACCTGAAATTAAAAAAAATATATCACTGGCTCATTAAGCAAAAGCCCACAAGTGTCACGCTAATGGGTATTTAAAAGAAAAAAGTGGACCATGCCTGCGTAATGTGTGTTAAAAAAAAGTTTTCTGCTATAGTCTCCAACAGATGCCTGTGTAGCCAGGTAATAATGCAGGAGAACAATTAGGAGACAGGAACGGGGCATTGTCACTCTTTAACTCAGAAGTAGAGGTATGATTTTTATTGTATAACTACGTTAGTCGGGCCTGGAACAATGTAAGTATGCATATTTTATATCTGAGTGATCACTGTGCAAGCCTGAAAATCACTGTACTACATTGCTACTACAGTGCTAGCAGCGATCTTCCAGGTCCTGTTCCGGTCCAAGCAGCTGCCATTTTGCATGGTGGCCCCAGGGGGTTGTTCATTCTTCACTACTGCCTATCAAATAACACCTTTTTTTTGGAATATAAGGTGTTCTGTAATTTGTGGAGAAGTTGAGGTGGTGATATCATGATCTCCACCGCAGCCTGGATTCATTAACAAAAATAAAAAAAGTGTTCTGCAGACAGTGCTGGATGAGCGACCCCTGTGGTTACTTTGCAGAAGGGAAAATCGCTGCTATCACTGAAGTAATAGTGACTACTACAGCAATTTGTAGCTACCACTTAGGTATGAGGCATGAATAATTTAATTGGTCCAAGCTGGACCAATATAACTAAGCAATAACAAATATACTAAAGCTGGCCATACATGGATCGAAATTCTGCTGGTCCAGCAGGGACTGGACGAATTTTGATCCATGTATGGAGACTCGATCTATCGATTGACTTCTCTCCAGCCATCTTGTGGAATTTCCAAACAAACAGTGCCACAAGCTATAGCTGGAAACAATATTATTATTATTATTATACAGGATTTATATAGCGCCAACAGTTTGCTCAGCGCTTTACAATATAAAGGGAGACAATACAGCAACAATACAGTTCAATACAAGAGAGTTAGGAGGGCCCTGCTCCTTGGAGCTTACAATCTAAGAGACTAATCGTGTTCTGACAGCAGTGAAGGCTCTCCACTGTCAGAATACAATAGCTCAGCAGGAGTGATTCCCCAATCCACCCTAAATGTGTGGATGGGGCAATTGGTACATTTTTGGCTTGCCTAATGCAGGCCATACATGGGTTGAATTCTGAAAGAATTTTCTTTAGAAAATCGTAACTAAGAATTTACATTCAAATTTTGCTCCATTAGTGGGTTCCAGCATCTGCCAATTTTCACCCAGCCATTGAATTTTGTGTGATTAGGCATGTTGGAAACTTTCTGAAAAACAAGTTAATTTCTAATCAATAAAGGGAGAATTGTGCAAGAAATATAATCGAAAAACAAATTATTATTATTATTATACAGGATTTATATAGCGCCAACAGTTTGCTCAGCACTTTACAATATAAAAAGAGACAATACAGCAATGATACAGTTCAATACAAGAGGGTTAGGAGGGCCCTGCTCCTTTGAGCTTACAATCTAAGAGGGAGGGGCTGGTGGTACAAAAGGTAATAACTGTGGGGGATGAACTGATAGGAGAGATAGAAGATTTGGTTATTATTTGAAGGCAGGATAGGCTTCCCTGAAGAGATAGGTTTTCAGAGATCACCTAAAAGTGGGCAGAGTAAGCAATAGATGGATAGATTGGGGTAGAGAGTTCCAGAGGATGGGAGAGGGCTCTATAGAAGTCTTGAAGATGAACATGAGAGGAGGAGACAAGGAAGCTGGAGAGCAAGAGGTCATAGGAGGAGCGGAGAGTACAGTTTGGGTGGTATTTGGAGACAAGATTGGTGATATAATTTGGGGCAGAGTTATAAATGACTTTATATGTTATTGTTAATGTTTTGAATTTTATTCATTGGGCAATAGGAAGCCAGTGGAGAGATTGGCAGAGAGGGATGGCAGAAATGGAACGGTTAGTAAGGTGGATGAGTCTGGCAGCAGTATTCATGATAGACTGAAGAGGGGATAGCCTGCGATTAGGTAGGCCAATGAGGAGGGAGTTACAATAATCAAGGGGAGAGATAACAAGGGAGTAAATAAGTTGCTTTGTGGTTTCAGTGGTTAAAAACGGGCATATCGGGCGTGCCTTTTACATTGTTTGTTTTATAGCACTGTTCTCTTTATTTTTTATGTGCCACTGATAGCCCCTGGGTGGGCGTGTCTTTTGCTCTAGTTTTTTTGTAAAAATTGTTTTAAAAAGGTAATAAAAAATCATTAAAATACAAAAAAGGCTTATCTTGGAGATGTTGCGGAGGTGAAGTCTACAAGATTTGGACAGTGATTGGATTTGGGTCTGAAAGGACAGATGAGAGTCCAGGATTACACCTAGTACCTTGGCATGAGGGGAGGGAAAGCTGTGACCTGGAAAGAAAAGAAGATTCCCAGCCACGAAAAGCCATGTTGCTTTTTTGTAGCAGCATGGAAATTGAGGGCTTGGTTGGTCGAATTTCTAAATCAATGGAGGCACAATTGGATTAGAAAACACATGAAATTTCTGATTTTCTAAAGAAAATTCCTTCAGAATTCGATCCATATATGGCCTGCATTAGACTTCAGCTTTAATTCTGTGTCAAAGATGAGCATAGCGCACCAGCTTGAATTAACCAATCAAATTTCCCTCTTCATTGATTTGGTACATTCAGAACAATGAGAGCTGATTGTTGATGAAATACTCTGGGTTAAGCCTAGTACACACTATTAGAAAATCAGACAAAATATCCAGATTCAGAAGGATCTTTTGATTTTCTGTTTGTTAGTACTCTGCTTTCAAGAGCCAATAAGGACTGTTCAGATGAAAATTTCTGAAGGAACATGTTGGAAATTTTTTCTCAGTTATCATGACGTCATGACGTCCAATTTTCATTTAATTAGTACAAAGTGCGAACATAGACTGCACATACCTACACATACAACGTAGCTATGTATGTAGGACGTTCTCCTCTAGTGTTCATTTTCGTTCTGGTATTCTCATTTGGTGTTCTGGTATTCTCATTTTTAAAATGGGATGAGGACACAGAAAAATGCGAACAATCTTTTGTCCAATTTCCTAATAGTGTGTACTAGGCTTTACTGTAGATATACAATATCTTTCTTTCTACTATCATTCCTTTTGTCATTTGTACCTAAAACTCAGCTGTTAATGGCTAAAATCAGTTTGGCCTCACTTGGATGATTTGAATAAAAGTCACCTGTCCCTGGACACATCTGCTCTGTAGTTGATGAGGATGAATGTCTTATACCAGTATTTGGTGGAGTGGGTGATAGGAGAGCACAGCCTGAGCTGAGCCATGCATGGAAGCTTTTGTGGGATGGTGTGTCCCTCTTGTGGTCATTAATAGCTACACAAATGATGTAATCCTTATAATGCTCCTTCTCTGTGTGATATGACTACAGTATTTAATTCTTAATACAAGATGGGAGAGTACTCATACCACCGACATTAGGGTTTATTTGTAATCTGAGCTTTCTTTAGATGTCACCAAACCAGGCTGACCTCCAGTCATGCATATGAGGGTATTTATGAGGAATGAAGATAAGGGGAGAGGTTCCTTCACTTTTTCTTCTTATAATTTAGCTCAGCAGTTAACAAGCAGCTGGTTGATTGTCATCATAGACAGCCTCATTCATTTCTTTTGCTACAGTATTGGTCAACCCCTTGGTTTATTAGGGGAAAAAAAATGAAATGCCTTTATGATAGGAGGATCTAGTTTAACATAGCTAAAGTACTTGTTGATGATAAATTTATTTGGATAAGTAGTGATAAGAAATGGTAGCCATAATCACTTCAATAAATGATTGATTTCTTTTCTAATCAATCTCTCCCAATGAAAATAATTGATCTACAGTTGACAACCCAATCGACTGATATAAAGATAAAAATTGCTGTGCTGCTGCTACTGAAAAAAGTAAATAAATAAATGAACACCCTAGTATATATAGAGTCCTTACAAGTGTGCATATACTTCAATGCCCTATGGGCTGACAATTATATCTCTCCTACCCAGTGACTAAATCATAATTAAGAAACCAGTGTATATACTCAACATGCTCAAACGACAATTGTGCTAAAAATAACAAATATACAATACCATCAAACTATGTATATAGTGAACTTATATGCAGAATGCATTGAAGTATATGCATGCTTGTAGGGACCCTATCTGTAGCAGGGTGTTCATTTATTTATTTATTTCGCAGAGCAGCAATTTTTATGATTTTAAACTCCAAGGAGCAGTGCCCTCCTAACCAGGGGCGGACTGACAACTCATGGGGCCCCCGGGCAATAGGGGATCATGGGGCCCCTGTGTCCTTGCCCAAACTCAAAAAAGCCTATGAAAAAGGTACCAGGGGCATCTCATGGGCCCCCCGGGGCAATAGGGGATCATGGGGCCCCTGTGTCCTTGCCCAAACTCAAAAAAGCCTATGAAAAAGGTACCAGGGGCATCTCATGGGGCCCCCTACTGACCCCGGGCCTTTGGGCAGTGCACGAGTTTCCAAATGGTCAGTCCGCCCCTGCTCCTAACCCTCTTGTATTGAACTGTATTGTCTCCCGTTATATTGTAAAGCGCTGAGCAAACTGTTGGCACTATATAAATTCTGTATAATAATATAATAATGTTTGTACTTACACATTTGTGCACTGGTACACATTTGTGGTTTTGCTAGCAGCAGCCAGTTTAATTGATTAGACCTCTGCACAGGTTACACTTACATACAATCGAGTGATATGTCACACATCGGGGAAATTAATTTCAATTTATAGTTGGAAAATACAATCTTCAGTTATTGATTGCATCTCTGTTTACACTATGCAATCACATAATCTGATCAAAATATGATCATGGCCACACCATCTTACCGCCAATTGATGAAAAACAATTGATATTTATCTGCCCCAGCTGATCGATTGATGATTAAATGCAATCTAAATCGATTGGAAGGGAAATTATGCCTAATCAATATTTCATGATTCAATTTGATCGAATTTGCATATCAATCAGATAATAAAATTGAAGCATGTGTGGCTGCCATATGGCTAATATCACACAGGCGATTGCCCCCATCCCCTAGTTTGTTACAGCAATTAGTTGCTAATAAAAACATAATAGTTTTCTATTAGATTGCTAACAGTGACATTTTTAAAATGATTTGTTGCTCTGCTGCTCAGTGATTGAGATTCATTAGCATTTCAGATGAATGGAGACAATCGCTTTTACTACTTTTCTATGAAATGTTGCAGCAATTGCTATGTTTAGCTACAAATATCTGAAGGGGAGTGATTTCTAGCATTGTATAATCTAATGGCGTAGCAAATTGCCAGCGACTCTAGTGGTTAAACTGCCAGCTACAAATCGCTGTTAAAAAGGAACTTTACTCTCTTAATCAACATTGACTATTTTTAAACTTTATACTACTAGCATTTAAAAAAAAAAACCTTTAAAGTGTTACTAAACCCGAACAGTAAAATCAGTCTGCACATGCAGTAAAGCATGCTTGTTATACTCACTGTGTAACCTAAGGGCTTAATCCTCTGCACTATGTAAAAAGTCTGTTTGATCCTGTCTTCTCTGCCCTGATAAAACAGACTGAACCCGTAGCCACATGCACATGCTCAGTTTAGTGTGTATTGCTAGAGAGGTTTTTTTTTTTGGCCCTGTGCTGATCACATTTACTCTCCAATCAGCACTGTCCAGACAGAGGTAAGGGGTTCTGCATCCTTCTAGAGCAGAAAGAAAACTCCTCCTACAAGCTTTAACCAGTGCTCTGCTGGACACTGATAGAAGTCACAAGAATGTTGATGAGGAAAGTTATTTAGCAGTTTATATTTACTAAAATAATTGCACTTCCATATTTTGTGTACTGTGGGAGACCAGGGGTGGACTGACAACTCATGGTTCCCCCAGGCAATAGGGGATCATGGGGCCGCTGTGTCCTCACCCACACTCAAACCACACCCAAAAAAGCCTATGAAAGGTACCAGGGGCATCTCATGGGGCCCCCTACTGACCCCGGGCCCTTGGGCAGTGCCTGAGTTCCCAAATGGTCAGTTCGCCCCTGTGGGAGACCAGATATAGTGAATGCAGGGTCCTGGGTTTAGTAACACTTTAACTTTTCTTTACATTTTTTTCAGTTACTTCCTTGTTTCCAGGGTTAGATAAATGATGTCAAACATCCAAGGAGTCTTCAGAAGGGGAGGAGAGGTTTTCTCAGCTAATCATCCCCTCATGTCAGCATGCCTGAGCTAAGGGCAGATGGATTCCAGGAAGTAAATGCTACATGAATCATCTGCCCTTACTCAAGCTGGCCATGGCCAGAAATACTAGGGAGTGTTTTCAACATTTTTGGTTAGTGGTGCTCAGATGCAGTGTAGTTACACTTTAAAGACTGGGATTAGTAAATTGTAGCACTGATTAATCTCTGTGGAAAAATCGCCTAAGATTTATAACACACAACAATTTTGTCACTAGAACCAAATTTTCAGCAGCAGGATCACTAAAAAGAATGCCTATGTTGCCCTAAGGAATCACTCACTTTATAGCTACATGCAGCGAGATGTTGCTCTGTTGCTGGCCCAAAAGGTGCTGAATCTCGATAGTGATGGGAGTGAAATGTTGCTGCCTCTGCTACAGAGGGAAGTGTTCCATAGGAACAGACCAAGCAGTCTCTTATCAATCCTGACACTGTCAATTATGACCACGTGTCTAAAATAACACATTTGGATGCATATGTTGTATAGTTTGTGCGTATATAAACGCAGCACTATAAGAATAAATAGAGTCATACACACAACTGCGTCTACAAACAAGAATGTGCACCACACCACAGTTAGCGCCATACAGAAACCTGTGTCCATGGCTGTAGATACATGTGATTTTTCATGTGTGTGTATGTAAATGTGTGAACATATACACACATATGGGTTGATTTAGGGCCAATCCCCACTGACTTGCTCTAAAATGCATGTACATTTCCAGCACGTTTTAACACGCTAACGTCCGTTGACATACATTTTGATGACCGTTGACCTACATTTTGCACACAATGCAACATTATGTTGTGAATATGACACATGGGAAATTACTGTTTTTTTGGATGTCCTTCCATTCAATCTGCGTTTTACAGCTGCGCTAAAACGCACTAGTGTGAACTGGCCCTAAATCAACCCTATAAAGTCATTAGAAGAATTGCACACATCTAAATGCTGTATGCGTCTAAACGCTTTACCTGTCTAAACATACCTAAATGTGCATAAACGAATGTACAAATGTACATACCTAAATGTGCATAAACGCACCTAAAAGCATACACACATGATTGTGTAGCCATTCATTTCAAGGAAAGAAGAATTGTACACATTGAACACTGTATGCATCTATACAAGTGCGTCTAAAAGCAAGTACTTTAGATTCATATTTTACGCAGGATTTTCTATCTGCTTTGCAGCAAGAACCTGCATTCCATGCAGAAAATATACATATACCCATGTGGATGAGGCCTAAAGTAGTACACACACAGACAGAATGGCCTGAATGCAGGTAATGTGCGTTAAGACACGCATGCGCTACTTTAAGCAGCTGTGTATAGCCGACTTTACCAGTTCATGTCTATGGGCCGCTGTACGCAGCTCCAGGATATCCCAAACACCAGAAATATGCAGCACCCTTGCGCTGCATGGGCAAATTGGTTGAACTGGATGGACTTGTGTCTTTTTTCAACCAGACTAACTATCTATGTAAATGCACACATGTGCATGTGCCTGCTTTTTTTTTTAAAGCTACACGCACATGAGCGCATTTGCCCATGAAGCATAAAGACACTGTGTATTTATGGCATTGGGGATGTCCTAGAACTGCTGCCCATAGACATGAATGAGTGAAGGCTGCTATATGCAGCTATGGTGCGCACTCTAGGTGCATACAACTGCCTTCACCCATTCATGTCTATGGGCAGCAGCTCTAGGACATCCCCAACACCAGAAATATGCAGTGTCTTTACACTGCACAGGCAAATGCACCCACAGGCAGCACAGTGGCTAAATGGTTAGTACTTCCGCCTGGTAGTACTAGGGTCATTGCTTCAAATCCCACCCACAACACCACCTGCCTGGAGTTTGCATGTTCTCTCTGTGCCTGCATGGGTTTCCTTTGGGTACTCCAGTTTCCTCCCACACTCCAAAGACATGCTGGTAGGTTAATTAGATCCTGTCTAAATTAACCCTAGTATGTATGAATGTGAGGTAAGGATCTTAAATTGTACACCCCTTGAGGGTTAGGGACTGATGTGAATGTACAATATATATGTAAAAGCACTGCATAAATTGACAGTGCTATATAAGTAGCTGACATTAATAAATAAATGTTCTTGTAGCCTAAAAGGGATACAATTATTATTAATAGATTTTTTTTTTAAGGCTACATGTACATGGGTACATTTGCCCATGCAGCATAAAGACACTGTGTATCTCTGGCATTGAGGATGTCCTAGAACTGCTGCCCATAGACATGAATGAGTGAAGGCTGCTATACGCAGCTATGGTGCGCACTTTAGGCTCATACAGCTGCCTTCACCCATTCATGTCTATGGGCAGCAGCTCTAGGACATCCCCAACGCCAGAAATACGCAGTGTCTTTACGCTGCACAGGCAAATGCACCCATGTGCTTGTAGCCTGAAAGTCATACCATTATTATTATTATTAATAGTAGTAGTAGTAATAGAAGTAGTAGCAGTAGCCATAATAGTAGTAATATCTCACTGACAACTTCAGCATTTTTTTTATTTTATTTTAGAAGACTCTCTGTTCATGTAAGTTCATCTGTACCCCTTCCTTTGCCAATTGAGTCATTTTAGCTGAATGCAGAAACTTGTAGGATAGTTAGTATACCTCTGTAACCCATTAACTCTCCATTTACTATCCTCATAAAAGGAAAGTGTGGCTATTAGGCAGCAGGGAGGAAATGCCTGCAATACACAGTGATGCTGCAGTAGGACATGCTCTAGGGATGGCATCTGATCCTGCTGTGCATCACTATTACACAACACCCCCATTCCAGACTTTTTATCTGTGTCTTTTATGTGTCACACACACTCTCTGCAGGTAGTGTTTATGTTACATTTTACACTAATCCCAGGGGCTGCTCTCCATTTCACTCCCCTGCTGAGACACAGAGATGTTCTGATATGTCTTCTAAACTAGATAACCTCTGCTAAATGATCCCATTAATACTCCCCATAAATGGAGTCCCTAACCCAGCAATGATGAGGCTTCCAGATTATTGCAGGAGTGTGAGGATCTCCTAACCCCCACCACAGTCTGTATAATTAGAGGTCTAATCTGCTTTATAATGTGTGCACATCTAAAACACAAACAGGATGATCGGGGCCACATAGGAAGAAAAGGGGTTCATTAGATGGACTTAATTATTCAATTCTCCAAAAGAGCATCAAAGTGTATTGACACTAAGAAATGAATCTGGGCAGCACAGTAGCTAAATGGTTAGTACTTCCACCTGGCAGTACTCGGGTCGCTGGTTTGAATCCCAACCCCAGCACCACCTGGCTGGAGTTTGCATGTTCTCCCTGTGACTGCGTGGGTTTCCTCTGGGTACTCCGGTTTCCTCCTACACTCCAATGACATGCTGGTAGGTTAATTAGCTCCTGTCTAAATTGGCTCTAGTATGTATATGTATGAATGTGAGTTAGGGACTTTAGATTTTACACTCCTTGAGGGTTAGGGACTGATGTGAATGTACAATATATATGTGTATGTAAATTGATGGTGCTATATAAGTACCTGAAATAAATAAATCAGGTTATTTATTATGACAGTTCAAAGAGCTATCACGTGATCACAGCCAATGGGATTTCAGCTGTCACCTGGTGAGAGCAATCTGAACCCCAGAAAATGATTGATGATTGATTGCTGATAGTTCTGTGATTTATGATAGGGCCTGTGGGCTGATCTACTAGAAACAGGGATTTAATTTATATGTGATTGAGTGTCGGAAGTGATGACTATGCCACTGTACTAAATAAAACATACAGTGAAACGTTCTGATTTACTAAGTGGTGTTACTAGAAGGGGTATTCAGAGTAAAAACAGCCTGATCTTAATCAATAAGTGAAGAGTTGAGGCTGTTTATTTCATCTAATATCTAAGTTGTGTTCCCTATAAATACCCAATCATGTGCAAAAGTATTGAAAATGTTTAAGTTTTTGTTCTTATGTTTACATACAGTTTAAGTGACAGGTTAAAAAAAAAGTTTTTTTCCTCCCCAATAACTAATCCAGAGCTGACGAAGCTTCACTTCAAAATAATTTCCCTTACATCTGATTGATGAAGTGAACACAGACTAAGTTAAGGGTTAATCTCAGACCTAAATGAGCAGAGAATGTGCAGCTTAGGGTGAAGCTGATTTTTCACTTCATTCACCTGGAAGTAAGAATCCATTTATTGCAGTCCATTGGTCCTGTGGTGGCTGCATTAGTTTTCTTTTTTTTTTTTTTTTACATGTTTTTACTTTTTTCTAACCTGGTATTCCTGCCATTAATATACTTCCTGCTGTAGGGTGACAACTACACTGAGCAATGTTGTCACCCTAGAACAGGGAGTGTATTAGGACTACATAACACCTCTTTCTCTACCCCATAAAGGGGGTGTTTTGTACTCCATGCAGGGATTAATGCAGACAGCAGGGATTAATGATGATAACAGTCCAGAGACTGAGAGAGCAGAAAATTATCAGCGCACAAGTTTTTTGGCAGGATGAACAGTTACTTTTTGCACTTGTGGAACATATATAATAACACCCTTTCAATTGTATATTGAACAGAGAGGGCAAATAAGAAAAAATAATTATTCGAGTTTGCATATATTTTACTAATGCAACGTTCAGAAATCTGTGACAACCAATCAGAAGTCATCTTCTGCTTGTTCCAACTGATTAATCTGGAATCCGATTGGTCAGTCTGGAATATTGCTCAGTCCCAAAATACTTCTGACAGGTACAGCTTCCGACAGTCCCAAAGTTGAAAGCAAAGGTTCCTTTGATCTGGTTGCCTCTTGTGGAACATTTCAGACACATTTCTACAGCTCAGTCCTAAATTCTCTCCTATGTATTGGGGTTGATTTACTAAAATTAGTGCAAAATCTGTGCAGCTGTGAGTGGCAGCCAATCAGCTTCAATCTTCAGCTTTTTCAGTTAAGTTTTTGCAATAAAACCTGGAAGCTGATTGGTTTCTATGCACAGCTGCGCCGGATTTTGCACTCTCCAGGTTTAGTAAATGACCTCCATAGGGTTATATAGAGGCTTTCTAAATTAAGAGGAGCCAATGTCACAAAAGTGGTAACTTGGTTATTATATTTTTGTTTGTAGGTTATATTTATGGAGGAAAAATAGCAGTTTAAAAGATACTGCTGATTAAAGAATAAACTTTCACAAGGTGAAAAAAACAATCTAGCGAAATGCTCTCATTTCCCAGCGATGTGCACTGGGAGCCCCACACCGGTCCTGTCAGAAACAATTAACAATACTGGCTGCTGTGACTTTGATAAATTAGCATCTCAGATTCAGTTTTCTTTTCCTGAAGCCCATTTCCTCTTCTGCATCTGATCTGTGTCCTCCCATTTCACACGGCTTGTATCCCGAACATCAAAGGTCCAAATCCTTCTTGTGTCATCTACCTGGGATTAGACTCTTCCCAGCCCAAACCAGGAATGGTCAGAGCTCTGATCACATTGGGATGTCATGGAGGGCAGGCACTGTGAACCATCCATACTGTCCCAGTAGATTATTATAAACACCCAACTGCGATGTGTTACTTTACCATTTCTGTTAGTGGACTGATTGGTAACAACTGCAAAACCCTTGTCTTCACCAACTCCTACCTCTCTGTTCACACCTGTGCATGTTGTGTTTGAGGCATTTCTGCATTGCACTGCATTTTTGCGTTTTTGTCGCGTTTTTGATGCATTATGCGGTTTGTTTTCTTTTGCTTGTTGCTAGGCAGATTTAAAATGCAAAACGCATGAAAAATGTACCAAAAACACAGCAAAAATGCAATACATGCTTTTCTACAGCGTTCCCATTGAAGTCTATAGAACAAAAAACGCAATGTTTTGCACTCAAAAAAGTCCCTGACCTTTCCCAAAAAATGCCCTGGACTATACTGCATTTCTGCAAAATGTAAAACGCAGCAGAAAACGCTTACCTAGGGTTAGAGAAACCTGATTGGTTGCTAGGAGCAACTGAGGCAGGTTTGCTTCAGATTGCAAACATCAGCCCCCAAGGATGGGATTAGATATAAATGGTAAAAGAAGTTAAGGATGACATTTTATAATGTACAGATATAACACAGCAGGAAAAGTATCTAGAGCATCAAAAATGACAGTTGTTTTCAGTTAAAGCTGTCCATACATCATACAATGTTCTTGTTCAATTTCCTTTAGATTGACTTTCAACTATGTAGAGACAGGGCCTGGCTTATCGCATACAAATTGAAACGGTTTAGGTTTTACCCCATATCATATGGTTTTGGTAAATCTAAAGGAAAATTGTACAAGAAAGTTGTATAACAGGCAGCACCAAGGGCGGACTGACCATTTGGAAACTCGGGCACTGCCCAAGGGCCCAGGGTCAGTAGGGGGCCCTATGAGATGCCCCTGGTACCTTTTTCATAGGCTTTTTTGAGTTTGGGCAAGGACACAGGGGCCCCATGATCCCCCATTGCCCGGGGGCCCCATGAGTTGTCAGTCCGCCCCTGGGCAGCACAGTGGCTAAATGGTTAGCCCTTGCACATAGCAGTACTAGGGTCGTTGGTTTGAATCCCAACCACAGCACCACTTGCCAGGAGTTTACATGTTCTCCCTGCGCCTGCATGGATTTCCTCTGGATACTCTGGTTTCCTCCCACCCTCCAAAGACATGCTGGTAGGTAATTGGATCCTGTCTAAATTGACCCTAGTGTGTATATGTATGAATGTACATTAGGGACCATAGATTGTACACCCCTTGAGGGCTAGGGACTGATGTGAATGTACAATAAATATGTAAAAGCGCTGCATAAATTGACAGCGCTAAATACGTACCTGAAATAAATAAATAAAATAATTTGTGGACCAATGAGATTTTTAAAATCTCAGTCACCTGGCTTAATATAAAGATACTTATCCATGTGTAAAAGATTTGTGAATTGAGCCTTTTGTATAGTCAGTCATTGCAATTATGTACTAGTCAAGTATACAAATAATATTATATTGTATTATATTATTATTATTTCCCATAAATAGATTTACAGAGGTTGATTTAGAACAGAAACTGAAAATCTAGACCCAATCAATTGTCCACCATTCAATTCACACACTTAAAGATAGACATTATATTTATATACAAAAAAAATTATTGGGGGAAAAAAAAATAAATAAATAAATAAATAAATAAATATATATATATATATATAAAAAAAAGTTATCCAATCATGTGCAAAGCAAAATCCAGTCTGTTATTTCTTCTTCATGTGATTGGGTATCCAAAGGGAATAGGAATTTGATTGGAAGAGAATATTCCCACAATTTTTGATGTAAGGATTCTCAATTACTGTAGTAAATCAGCCTCCCAATGGACAATGGGGAAGATTTACTAAAACTGGAGCACTCAGAATCTGGTGCAGTTGGGCATGGATGGTAGCCAATCAGCTTCTAACATCAGCTTGTTCAATTAAGCTTTGACAATAAAACCTGGAAGCTGCTTGGTTTCTATGCAGAGCTGCACCAGATTTTGCATGATCAAGTTTTAGTAAATAACCTCCAATGTTATCTCCAAGCCATGAAGTAAAGCACAAACCAAATGACAGCATCCCAGACAGTTTATTGCAATACACCTCCAACACTGTACATTTGAGTCCTTCATCTCCAATCATAGCATTTTTTTCTCTGATTGAATACTAAAGTAGAGTGTAATCACCCAATCAGTTGTGTGAATATTCACCTCTAGTATCCCAATTCCTGTCTATTACTTCATCTGCACATGATTGGGTAGCCAAAGTGAACCGGAATTTGCTTTGCACAGGAATGGATAACTGGATTGAATATTCAATTTTTGTGTTAAGATTCTCAACTCTTTTAGTAAATCAGCCTCCCTACTGACAATAATATCCATGAAATTAATAACATATTTAACAAAATATTTACTGAACCTGGTGCATTGAGAATCTGGTGCGGCTGTACATGGTAGCCAATCAGCTTCTAAATTAATCTTGTTCATTACGTTTTGGCAATAAAAGGAGGAATCTGATTGGTTTCTAAGCAGAGCTGCACCAGATTTTACTCTTTCCAGTTTTAGTAAAAAATGACCCCCCAGTATATCACAAAAATACCCTCCATAAAAATGACAGCCTCCCATCCTAGTTTACTGCCATCCCAGTCCTTGATCTCCAATCACAGCATCCTTGCTCAGCCCCAACCCAACATTAAATGGAAGGACTTTGATTTTTTGAGCATTGTACCATTTTTAAGGATTGATTTTCTTTTTTTTCATTCCTCCACAAAATGAGGAAAACAAGCAGGAATGTAAATTGTGCAATCAGGTTTTTTTAGTTGGAGGATTAATTGCATCTACAGTATTTATTAACCCTTTGACACCCAGGTGTGCTGCGCTCCCGACCGTCTATCCTATTTCCCTAATCAAAGAAGGTGTTAATCGTGCCAAAAGCCAGATCTGCAATTAAAAGTGCTAAAAAAAAAAAAAAAAAAAAGAAAAAGAAAAGAAAAACCAAGTCATCCAAAATCTGCAGCCTTAAGCCTGTAGGTTTAAAGGAAACACTTCTTCCAGATCACAGAGCCACATCTCTTATGTGTCCCAGGTGAATTCAGAAAAGGGATTATTTAGTAGGATTTATTAAGAAAATATCCCTCGGATGGATGGCAAAAGAATTGTTTCTTTCTTGTTCTTTTTTTTTTTTTTTTTTTCTTCTTAGCGGAAACCTAATAAAAGTTAGAGAAGGGAGGCGGGTCTGGTCCTTTGGTGACGTAGAAGGAGGTAGATCAGCCAATAGGAAGCGCCCCCCTGGTCTTTCTGCCAGCAAGAAATATAAGAGCTCAGGAAAGTTTTGCAGCAAGTCAGAAACACGTTCGCGTCTGGGGACAAAGTGCTAGTGCTGGGCTTGCTTGGTGGGAAAGCCATCCTCTTGGAGAAGGAGCCCTTTCTCTTGTGGTGGGTGCAGCTTTGGACATCAGTTTGGTCGGGACACCCTCTTCTTCTTTTTTTTCTCCCCCCCCCCTGCCTGGGCTCTCTCTTCTCTCCATAGTTCTGGTAGAAGATGATGCAGGAGGAGTCCAGTTCTCCAGTCTCCCCCGTGGACAGCTTGAGCAACAGCGAGGAAGAGCTTGACAGGCAGCAGAGCAAGAGGGGATGCAGGAAGAGGAGAACCAGTAGGAAAAACCCCGACGATCCCGACAGCCCGACGTCAGTCAAGAAGAACAAGAAGTCCAGCAGCACCGGCAGCAGTCCCCAGTCCTTCGAGGGAGCTACAGACCCAGAGAGTCATGGCCAACGTCAGAGAGCGTCAGAGGACCCAGTCCCTCAACGAAGCCTTCGCAGCTCTCCGAAAGATCATCCCCACCCTTCCCTCCGACAAACTCAGTAAAATCCAAACCCTCAAACTGGCCTCCAGATACATTGACTTCCTCTGCCAGGTTTTACAGAGCGATGAGCTGGACTCCAAAATGGCAAGCTGCAGTTATGTGGCCCATGAGAGGTTAAGCTATGCCTTCTCAGTGTGGAGGATGGAGGGAGCCTGGTCTATGTCTGCATCTCACTAACACATCTCAGGCGACAAGGACACTCACACAGGTAAGCCAATGGCCACTCATTGACCCCCTGATGGCTAGCCCTGGACTTCCCTGTGATAACTGACCCCCTGATGGCTAGTCCTGGGCTCCCTGTGATAACTGACCCCCTGATGGCTAGTCCTGGTCTCCCTGTGATAACTGACCCTCTGATGGCTAGGCTAGTCCTGGAATCCCTGTGATAACTGACCCTCTGATGGCTAGGCTAGTCCTGGAATCCCTGTGATAACTGACCCTCTGATGGCTAGTCCTGGGCTCCCTGTGATAACTGACCCACTGATGGCTAGTCCTGGGCTTTCCTGTGATAATTGATCCTCTCATGGCTAAGTCATCGGCTCCCTGTGATAACTGACCCCCTCATGGCTAGTCCTGGGCTCCCTGTGATAACTGACCCCCTGATGGCTATTCCTGAGCTTCCCTGTGATAACTGACCCCCTGATGGCTAGTCCTGGGCTCCCTGTGATAACTGACCCCCTGATGGCTAGTCCTGAGCTTTCCTATGATAACTGATCCCCTGATGGCTAGTCCTGGACTTCCTGTGATAACTGACCCTCTGATGGCTAGCCCGGGGCTTCCCTGTGTTAACTGACCTCCTAAAGGCTAGTCCTGGGCTCCCTGTGATAATTGACCCCCTGGTGGCTAGTCCTGCCCCCCCCCCCCCCCCCCCTTCCCATGTAGAAGTCACAATGCTAGGTTAGATCATAGACAAGGGGCCTACAACAGGGATCTTAATGAAACTGGGGAATGTGGAGAGCTGGGCTAAGCCTAACAAAATAACAAGGCAAACATTTCTGTCATTTCCAGGGGACTGCCTGTGGCTAGAGCCTCGGTTTTCATTAGAAACCTTCTCATTTTGGGCTAGCCTGAGATCTGCAACTATTTTTTTTCTTGGATCGTGTTCTGAGCTAGACAGGGCAGTGCTATCCTGTTGTCACCGGTGGGAACCGTTATCTGAACCGTTATGTGTGTCATGTGACCTACTAAACCGTTATGTGCATTGCCTACCGTGTTGTGGAGTTCCAGCATTATTGTCTGTAGGGTACTACTATCGTTACCTATCTAGTATTGGGCAAAGCTGTGGTCATTTCTCCTAAAACTTTACTTTCTACACTTGCTATTTGTCTACTATATTTTTATTATTATAATATAGTATAATTTTATATGGTCTATTATATAGTATATTTTAATAAGTTATCTCAGCTATAACCTGATAATGGTGCCAGAAACATTGTACTAAAATCTATCTGCTGTGTTTTACCATCATTTACTATATAATATTTACATTGTATATATAGTAACAACATGTTTCTCTGGGCTATGACCAGATACTAAAAACATAACAATGAAATACATTCTGTACAAAATGTTTCTACTGTGTTTTACCTTACTATAGTATATAGTAATAATATGTTTCAGTAGTGTTTAATAACAATATGTTTATTTGAGCTATAAACAAATACTAAAAAACATATCAATAACATATGTACTAAAATATTTCTACTATAAACAATATGCTTCTCTGAGCTGTACACAAATACTGAAAAACATACCAATAAAATACAATAGGTACTAAAATCTTTCTACTATAGTAACACTATGCTTCTCTTGGCTGTACACAAATACAGAAAAACATACCAAAAAATACAATATGTACTAAAAATCTTTCTACCATAGTAAATTTATGCTTTTCTTACCTATAAACAAATATTGAAAAACATACCAATAAAATATATTATGTACTAAAATATTTCCACTGTGTTTCACCATAACATATAGTCTATAGTAGCAATATGTTTCTATAGTGTATAATAACAATATGTTTCTCTGAGCTATAAACAAATGCTAAAAAACATATCAATAAAATACAATATGTGCTATAATATTTTACCATAATATAGTAACAATATGCTTCCCTGAGCCATAAACAAATGCTGAAAAAAAAAATACCAATACAATGCATTATATACTAAGCTCTTTCTACTGTGTTTTACAATAACATTGCAACAATATGTTTCTCTCAGCTACAACCAAATACTGAACCCATACCAATAAATTAAATTATGTACTAACATCACTGTTTTTCCATAATATAGTAACAATATGCTTCTTTAAGCTATAACCAGATACTGAAAACATACCTAGCAACTCCACATACTGTGTTTTACTGTAATAAAGTATTTAGAAATAAAATAATATAATAAGAAAATACATAGTAACAATGTGATTCTATAGTATATAGGAACAATATAATTCTTTGAGCTTTAACCAGATACTAAAAACATTACAATATAACACATTGTGTACTTAAATCTTACTACTGTATTGAACTATAATATAGTATATATCAATAATATGTTTCTCTGATAGTAATAAACATTAGAACAGAGTACGTTTTTTTTTTTTTTTTTTTTTTTTTACTAAAATCTTTCTACGTTCCTTTACATAGATTAGACTACAATATGGTACCGTGAGCTATAACCAGCATAGTATAAAGTAGTACTAATAACTCTAGACTTACTAAGCATCACTGTACACCTACATGTGCACAGGGCAATCTCTAATGAATGCATTTATTTCCTTAAGAAGTATATATATATATATATATATATATATATATATATATACACTCTTTTAGCCTATCATTAACCTATTATTGACACATTCTCTGAAGTAAACCGTCATTTACTAAACTGTTCTGCACACAGCTCTGTTCTGAGCCCACCCACTGTAGAATTTTGGTCTTATATTACAACTCTCTTCCTATGCCATTACTATTTCCCCCTTTACCTCTGATGTCAGCTTGTATAAAGAACCTCAACTCCATGAGATCATTAATGCCCCCCCTAACCCTTTTGTGCCCATTTTTCCTTTTACAGAAGAGACTGCTTGCAATGATGGAGGAAATGGATAGTCTAGAGATTGAAGCTGGATACCTATAAAAGTCAAATAAACAATCAGCGAGGATTTTCATCCGTTGGAGGAGAAGGCAGACACAGGGCGTGGGGAGCACTTATAGAGCAGCAAGGATCGGGGACATGGGCCTGGGAGGAGCAGGGACCAGCCAGCACAAATCCTGCAAGGTCACCACTACTTTTTACATTCTGAATTGAGTCTGAACAATCGCTAATCAGTTTTTTTTTTTTGACGAAGAATGTTGGAATTTTTCCTTTGCTTTTTTTTTATTTCCATTCCATTTTTTATTATTGTTTTTTTTTTTTTTTATTGCATGCATTCCCACCAGTCGTGCCTTTGAAGCCACTTAAAGGAACGTTCCCCATTCTCGGACGCTACTAATGAAACTCAAACTATGTTTTTTTTATAGGAGGAAAAAATAAACTATTTTTGTTATCGAAATCTTTGGTTCAGAAAAAAAACTGTTTTTATATTACCAGCGGCTGCATCTCTTTATCTTTTTTTTCTTTGAGATACAAAGTAAACATTTTATTTATTTATTGATCCATGTTTAAAAAAATAATGCAGCTAGATCGGGTGTCTACGTGCATTCATATTTTTATGGTTGTTTTGTAAATATCATTGTATATTATTTTTTTTCCTGCAATAAATAAATATGAATTAAGAAACAGTTTGGTCTGTATTAAAAAAAAGCACCTCCTCTCCTTCATATGGGTAATTAATGGGAAATACAGGACCTGCTTGTTTAGCTGGGAAGACGCTCAGGAAAGAGGGGTCAGTGTAAACAGAGCGGGCACAAAATGCAAATAGACTGGCTACTGACAGACGCAGGAGGTTTATTATTGGACTAGCTGAGCCTGGCTGAGGATGGCTGCCTTCCTTCATCACAACATGTACAGGTCATCTCCAGACACTGGCCAACAAGCCCAGGTCGCTGGCTGAACCAGAGACTTTTCCTTTCTGCTTAGTTAGGACGCCAGTGTAGAATGTCACACTTTGTTCAACAATCTTACAGGGCAATTTGTGCTGTTCTTACAAAAACAAATATTAGGTGCTCTGGGCACACAGCTATTACCAATGGCTTCATTATCAACCCAGAGCACACCAAATTCCTTGCATATAGATGGATACAAACAACAGAAAGATGATCAGTAGATAGATAGATAGATAGATAGACAATTTTACAAAGACTGTGATTAAATATTGAAAAAATCATATATATATATATATATATATATATATATATATATGCATTTCTTTTTATAGACTTTTAACTATCATATAAATAGATAGATAATTTTACAAAGACTGTGATTAATTAAATGATTTTTAAAAATAATATATATATAGATAGATAGATAGATAGATAGATAGATAGATAGAAATAAATAGATGGATATTATAGCTCAATATTATTTGATATTCTTAATATCAAACAATATTAGGTCAATATATATGTTAAAGGACACAGATGATAGAGATGTAAACATTCTCAAACTTTTAGATTGCTAGATACTCTAAACAGAGACGATACACAGATTGAAAAAAAAATAGATAGATAGATAGATAGATAGATAGATAGATAGATAGATAGATAGATAGATAGATATAGAATGATGGTCAGATAGATAGATAGATAGATAGATAGATAGATAGATAGATAGATAGATAGATATAGAATGATGGTCAGAGATAGATAGATAGATAGATAGATAGATAGATAGATAGATAGATAGATAGATAGATAGAAAATGAATGATGGTCAGGTTGAAATAGATAGATAGATAGATAGATAGATAGATAGATAGATAGATAGATAGATAGATAGATAGAATTACATAGACTCACCCCAGTTTCACATTCAGTATATATAACTCAATGTATATGCTCTAGGGCAGAGATTATAGGTATTTTTTATTTTCTTAATTAATTTTGAATAATCATAAAACTTTATATTAGGTTGCTACATACTGTGATGGGTAGGGAGATGATAGATAGATAGATAGATAGATAGATAGATAGATAGATAGATAGATTACATTGACTAATGTCTGTAGTTG